TAGAGTACAGAGTATGAGTTATGGAGAATAAAAGCATGGAAAACAGGGTGCAGAGTGTTAGTAATGGGCTGTGAAATACGGAGACTGGAACACTCAGTGGAGTAGGAGCATGGAGAACAAGAAACGGGGCCTGGACGCTTAATAATGGAGTGTGGAGCATGGGGAATAGAGTGTGGAGTGTTAATGCTGGAGCATGGAGTGCTGAGGGTGGAGAGTGGAGTGTCAGGTATTAATGCTGGAGTAAAGGAGTGTGTCAAGGCTGTATATTGTCCCCTGCTTATTTAGCTTACATGCAGTGTACATCATGAGAAATGCCAGGCTGGAAGAAGCACAAGCTAGAATCAAGATTGCCGGGAGAAATATCATTAACCTCAGATATGCAGATAACACCACCCTTATGGAAGAAAGTGAAGAGGAACTAAAAAAACCTCTTGATGAAAGTGAAACAGGAGAGTGAAAAAGTTGGCTTAAAGCTCAACATTCAGAAAACTAATATCATGGCATCTGGTCCCATCACTTCATGGGAAATAGATGGGGAAACAGTGGAAACAGTGGCAGACTTTATTTTTTTGGGCTCCAAAATCACTGGAGATGGTGATTGCAGCCATGGAATTAAAAGACGCTTACTCCTTGGAAGGTAGGTGGTGACCAACTTAGGTAGCATATTGAAAAGCAGAGACATTTCTTTGCCAACAAAGGTCGGTCTAGTCAAGGCTCTGGTTTTTCCAGTGGTCATGTATGGATGTGGGAGTTGGACTGTGAAGAAAGCTGAGTGCCGAAGAATTGATGCTTTTGAACTGTGGTGTTGGAGAAGACTCTTGAGAGTCCCTTGGATTGCAAGGAGATCCAACCAGTCTATCCTACAGGAGATCAGTCCTGGGTGTTCATTGGAAGGACTGATGCTGAAGCTGAAACTCCAATACTTTGGCCACCTGATGCGAAGAGCTGACTCATTGGAAAAGACCCTGATGCTGGGAAGGATTGGGGGCAGGAGGAGAAGGGGACGACAGAAGATGAGATGGCTGGATGACATCACCAACTAAATGGACATGAGTTTGAGTAAACTCCGAGAGTTGGTGATAGACAGGGAGGCCTGGTGTGCTGCGATTCATGGGGTCACAAAGAGTCAGACATGACTGAGCAACTGAACTGAACTGAACATATGGAGTGTTAATGCTGGAGCGTGGAGTACTGAGGATGGAGACTGGAGTGTGGAGTATTAACGCTGGAGCATAGAGAACAGAGTACTCCTGCCAGCTCGCTCGTAGGGCCCCTCGAGGTGGCAATCTGCTTTAGAAGCAGTGGCCCCCGATGGACCTCGAGGGCAGTGTGCTCAGTCAGACAGGGGCCAGTGCTACACGATCTCGGTCAGCTGTGGTGTCTGAAACATCTCAGATACGAGGAAGAGACTGAGTTGCCCCAGACAGGGGTGTGGTGTGGCCCAAATGGGCAAAGAGGTCCCAAGTCAGGGGGTCCTTGATCAGCTAGGTCAGCACCACAGAGCGCAGGGCGGCTGAGGATGTCTGCAGCAGGACCACACTCCTGCACCAGAGTTGATGCCACCTGGGTACTGTCATGAGGAAACAGAGGTGGGGTGGGGGTCACTGGGCCCTGGACGAGCAGGAGGACAGGTGGGACCAGGGGCCAGAGGTGCGGGGGCCAGGGCAGGGCTCCCGGGGGGCTGGGGCAAGGTGAGAGGACCAGCCCTGGCACTCAGGGCTCAGGTTCCGGAAGGATGCTGGGTGCACAAATGAGAATCACCCAAAATGCAGGCGGGAGGAGGATCAGAGGGCAGAGGTGAGGAGGTGGTAAGTGCCCAGGGCCGAGGGGAGACCTGAGGTTGGGAGGAGCACAGCCGGGAAGGCAGGGTCTGTGCCCTGAGGGTGACATGAACCTCGAGGCTGGGAGGTCTTGGGGGACAAGAAAATGGTCTGAAAGCCCAATGGTGAGTGAGGAGGAGGCTCTCCCGCCTCCAGGCCGAGGGCCCCAGCCTCCACTGTGGCCCCTCACTCTCCTTAAGGCTGGGCAAACCTAGGTGTCCACCTGCCCGCAGAAGGAGCCAAGGTTCGGGAGAGACGGGGCGACCGGCTCTCTGCGCCTTACAGACCCTGCTGCCAGCAGACAGGCTACCTTTGGCCTCCACCGCCGGGGGCCCCTCTTCCGATCGGAGCCTCCCTCCTCGCCCCCTCCATCTCTGGCTCCCAAGCCTCTGGGCAGGTTTCCACCAGCCAGATCTTGTCGAGGAGGAGGACGGAGGCTTGAGGAACTGGGACCCTGACGGCCCTTCCTAAAACCGCCTGAGCACACTCAGGCTTGCGCGCCTCCACGTGACTCCGACCTCGGGGCGCGCCTGCCCACCCAGCCCGCAGACACGCACCCGCCTGCCCAGCCCCGGCCCGGCCCTGCCAAGCCTGCATGGAGCGGCCGCAGCTGACTGATGGGGCAGGTGCCTGCAACCCCCCCGCAGCCCCCCGGGGCTCAGAGCGCCCATCGACCTGCCCGAGGCGGGCGGCCGGGTGCCGGAACGGAGTGGGGGCACCTGCGAGCCGTCACCCCGGGCCCAGGTGAAGGCCGCGGGAGGGGAGGGGGCGTTGCACAAGCCAGGAAGCAAAGGTTGGGGAAAAACAAATGTTACAAAAAAGGCAACTTTCCATCCCTTCCACGAAAAGGCCCTACATCCAGCCTCCTGGCGAGCAGGGCAGCCTGCCAAGGCGGCTCGCCCACACACATCAGGTCCCTTCTAGGACATACCCCGGCCCCAGCACCGAGTCTTGGTCCCACCCCCCCCCACCCCAGCAGTTCTCTCCCAAGGGGAAGGGGCTGGGGGCTGCCCACTCCCCGTGCGGCCTGGGACTGAGCCTGGCCACCTGTCGTCAAATTGAGTGACAGTGATGGGCTGGGGAGCATGTCGCAGGCTGGGGGTGGGCAAGAGCCGGTCTCCTGCCCCTCCACGACCCTTCCCTCCCACCGCAGTGATGACCCCTGGGGCCTCCCCAGCTCCAGGCAGCCCACAGACCACAGACAGGCCAAGACCTGGTCGGGACCTGCGAGCAGATGGGGAAACTGAGGCCGGGGGAGGAGAGGTGGGAGGGTGCAGGGAGCACCCCAGCCCTGGGAACCAGCCCTCGATCCCGGAATGGGAGTCAGGACTGGCCTGGCACTTCCAGAGCCCTCCAGCCCGCCCCCTCTGCCATGCCCTCCTCCTGGGCCGTGCTGGGCTGGGAAGGGTGCTGGCAGGCGGAGCCGGTGTGACCGTCAGGGCAGACCCCACTGGGCTAGGACAGCATCTGCTTCAGGACCCCGGGACGTGCTGAGAAGGGTGGAGGTGGGCTGGGGCTCTTGCCCGCACCCCAGGCCACAGGCCTGCATGTGGGCTGGGTGTGGCCCAGGTCCGTGGAGCTCCCCCACTGGGCCTCCCTGGGTCAGGGCTCACCCTTGCTCAGGAACCTTCTATGGCTCCCCAGCACCTGCTGGAGGACCGCCCTCCTGCCCCTCAAGTGGGGAGTGGCCCCAGCTGCTGCGCCCCTCCCCACCCCGCGGCCCAGGTCCCAGCATCGCGGGAGAAGGGGCACCCACCCCGTGGGCCCCACCCAACGTGTGTCCAATGGCCTCTGCGGAGACCCCCAAAGAAATGGAGCCCCAGGTCCAGAGCCCAGTCCTTCCCTGGAGGGAGTTGGGATGTCAGCTTAGGGGCCGGGGAGGCCTCCTGCTGCGAGGGTCCGCAGAGGGCAGCTGAGCCTGACAAGCTTAGGAATGAGGGTGAGCTGTGCCCATGTCCCTAGCAGGCCAGGAGACTGGGAGCCCCCAGGGCTGAGGGAGCGTCCTCGGGACCCGCCTGATGGAGCTTAGCTGGGGGCCCAGGAGTGCCCCCTGCCCCCCGCCTTCCTGTCCTGCTCTGGCTGCACCGGCCTGGCCCAGCAACGCCCCCGGCCCCCCACCCGGGCCTCCAGCACTCGGGCCTCCCCACCCAGCCTCTGCTACGCTGCCTCTCCCAGGCTCCGGCTGCGGCCGCACCCCAGCCCCCTCTCAGGCCTTTCCAGAGCTGCCCAGTCCCTCCTTCCTGCCCCCAACCTCCACCCTTTTGGTGCCCCTGGAGCCCCCTTCCACAGGCACAGACTGGGTGGAGCCGCGTGGCCCGGGGTCTCAGTCCCGGCTCGGCCTCAGGAGGGCCTCCACGACCCGCCCCAGAGGCCTGGCCCCGTGCAGGGGAGGGTGGGGGGGATGTGGTCAGAGGGCAGAGGCTGCAGGGCAGCTGGGGGGCGGGGGAGATGCTTGTCAGGAAACCCCGGGTTTGGGGAGCAGCTGGGAGGAGTAGGCAAGGGTCCTCACACTGGGGAGGGAGCTGGGGGGTCCCCCCAAACCGGCTCAGCCCAAAAAAGCTCAGCCCACACGTGTCCTTGTCCTGCGAACAGCTGAAATGTTGTTGTCTCCTGCGCCCCCGTGAGGTCAGCGGACCTCATGACACCCACTTTGGCCTCTGAGGTGGGGTGTTTGGGGGGGTACGGCGGGGGGGACCCCTGCACCCCTCCCAACCAGCCCCCAAGCCGGGCCTTCCTTCCTGGTTTCTCTGCCGGGGCAGCCCAGAGGCCTGAAAAGAAGGCAGCTCTTTCCAGGTGAGGCCCCGCCCCCTCTCCCTTCCCTGAAACCGGGGACCCTCCTGCTGCACAGAGAGACCCCTCAGCCCTTGGGCCCAGCGGGCCGGCCCCACAGTCCTAAGGGGAGCCCCAGGTGTGGCCTGGGCAGGACCCTCACCCCAGCCGCAGGCTGGGCCCTGCCCGTGGTTCTCGCGTGGGCTGAAGCTTTCAGGAACACAGCACGACCCTGATCTCCAGGGAGGAGAGCCTGGGGGTCACAGCGCTCAGCACGTGAATGCTGGGCCCCGGCCATAGGATGAGGCTCCCAGGAGGCTGGTCTTGAGCTTTCCAGGCCGGCCAGCAGGCCTCAGTCTGAACAGAAGACGCTGATAAGAGGGTGGTGGCCAGGACGCCCAGGCCACCCACCTCCGCATGGCCTCCTGGGCACTGCAGGCCTCCAGGGAGGGACGCTCAGGAAGGACGGCCTGCGTGCTGGCCATTCCACCCCAGTGGGGAGCAGGCCTGCACCTGGGGAGCCTGGGCCCCAGGAGCCAGTTCCCGGGGCCTTGGGTCACGGGGTGCGGCCCAGAGACAAGCAGACCAGGTCCCTGCGATGGGGAGTCACTAGGGAGAAAGAGGGGGCCACGGGCACCCTGGGCCCCGTGAGCTGCTGGCAGGGGCCCTGAGGAACCAGAGGCTGGACGCTGTCCGGGGGCGGGAGGAGGAGTGTTGGTCACACACGTCCGCTGCCCTCAGGGCCACGGTCCTCAGGACACACAGTCCCCCACGGTGTGAACCGGGAGTGTGGCAGCCCCTCCCTTCTAGGGGGTCTCAGCACAGAGGAGGGGCTTCCCTCATCCCCGTGGAGCCCCCTTCAGATCAGACTGTGCTTGGGGGGAGGCTGGAGGTGGGTCCGGTGGAGGGGAACCTCCAGGCAGGCGGGAACCCCGGACTTTGGCGGGGGGCGTGTCAGAGTTCCTCGAGAGGGGTGAGGGGAAATCCTCAAGCCCCCTGCCTCCGTCGGCTGACCCCACAAGGCTGGGGTTGATGGAAGCCACATGCCTTCCCAGAAGAGGGGCTCTGCGCCGCCCCCAGCCCAGCTCCCCACCCCGGCCAGCTCATGCTGGTCACTCTGGTGCTAATGGCCTCTTCGTCTCGGCGTCTCCCAGGCAGCCCAGGGTCCCTCCTCCTCGACTGCTGGGCGAGGTCTGCTCGGCAGGGTCCTTCCATGCCTCCCTCCCTGGCTGGGCCCCTCCTCCCACCTCCTGGCACAGGGAAGGGGCGGACGACTGGAGCAGTCCCCCCGGCGGGCCACGGCAGAGGGTGTCCCGGCCACACGCTCAGAAGCACCCAGGGGCTTCCCCAGGGGCTGCGACCTGCCCTGATGGCCTATGATCCAGCTGCAGAGCCAGGGTCCGCACAGGCAGTGGCTGTGGACCCCCAGCCCCCCGGGGGCCCCAGGACGCAGGATTGGGACTCTGCCGGCCCACCTCCAGGGCCTTGCCGTGGCCCGCCCGCCCAGACACTCAGGATCCACTCCTGGGCTGATGGTGTCTCCACCCTGCCCTGTCTCTGGCCAACCCAGAGGCAAGGGTGTGCCTCCTGAGATGCCCGCCCCCATGGCAGAGGCTTCGGTGGGCGCACAGCCCCCCACGCCCAGCTTCTGAGCACGGCCCAGGGGTCAGCTCCGTGTTGCCTCCGAGAAGGGTACCCTGGACCCCACCGTCGCCCTGAGGGCGGCCTACCGTCCGCCTGTCTGTGGGGTCCCCAGGTGGTGCGGCGGTAAAGGACCTGCCTGCCAACGCAGGAGACGTCAGAGACGCGGGTTCGATCCCCGGGTCGGGAAGATCCCCTGGAGAAGGGGATAGCAGTCCGCTCCAGTATTCTTGTCTGGAGAATCCCACGCACAGAGGAGCCTGGCGGGCTGCAGTCCACGGGGTCAGAGAGGCAGACACGACTGCAGAGACTTAGCGCGCGTGCACGGGGGTTGGGATGGGTCAAGTGGCCTCCCCCCAGCAGCAGCGTGTCCCTGGGACCTCCGTGGGGGTCACAGGATCCATGTCCCCCTCTGGACGTTAGTACCGGAGGAAGCAGGGTATCCCCCCACCCACACACCCCTCCAGGGCCGTGTCTGGTGACGTCGTAGAGCTGGGCCAGCCTCGTGCAGCCACGGCTCGGGCTTTGCCTCGTCCTCCAGGCGGGCCGGCTGCACCTTCCTGGAGCTCAGGCCTCCCTGTTGGGCTCCGGTGCCCCGGCCACTTTCCTGGCAGACCTGTTTTTCCAGGCCAAGGTTGCCACTGATGAGTGCTTCAGCTGGACAATAATGCAGCATTATCTGTCCGAGGACCCCAGCCTGCCCTAGAATCCCGGCCCTTTGGCCTCTGCTTGGGCCAGGGGCTGTGGGCTGGCATGGACCCTCCAGTCCTGAGCTTGAGCCCTAGTAAGGAGGGCCCCCACCTGGGCGGGATGGCCCCCAGGGATCTGCCTGCCCAGGGCTGCAGGGTCCTCAGGCCCTGACGCTCCTGGCGACCCTGGATCCTGGAGCAGGTAAAGGGTCCAGATGCCTTCTGAGTGGAGTTACCTCCTCCATCAGACATGATTGCATCCCCCACCGGGGACAAGACCCTCACTGGCCTTGAGTGGCCTGGAGCACCCATCCCCAGGGTGTCTCTGCTGCTCTAACGGGGAACAGGAAAGCCTTCCCCACAGGCGGGCCCGGGACTGGGTCCCCCGCTGGGACCACGAGAGCCCCCAGCTCCTGCCGCATGTCTGTCCTGTGCGGATTCTGCAGCTCTGCGGTCGGGGGACTGAGCAAACTCTAGGGACTCAGGTGCCACTCAGGCCGGAGACCCTGATGTTCAGGCACCAGGGTGGCCAGCCCGGGAATGGTAACCAGACGGCTCCCATCTCGGCTGGAGCCCTCGCACCCGGCTGGCCACCCACCGCTCCGGCGGGCACCCCCAGCCCCCGTGCAGGGCCGGCCGCTCTCCTCGCCCGGCCTGCGGCACCCTCCTCCCCCCACCCCATCCTCGGTCCCTGATCCCCAGGGGTGGGGGGCAGGCTCTCCCTGCTGTTCTGCCCTGCCCCTCATCTCCTGCCCCCTCTCAGCATGTCCACAGACCCACACCCCTCCTGGCCCACCAGCCCTGCCCGGAGACCCCCGATGGGACCCATGCCAGCCCCTCCCCACGGCCCGGGACCCTACGGGACTGTCCCTCCCGTGGCCTCCGAGGCGGCTTCCTTCTGGGCCCAGCGGGATAAACACAGGAAACAGGATTAGCAAGGAAGGGGAAGCGGCCCCCGAAAAGGCCTCTGCGGGCCGGGCTGGGTCGGAAATACCTATCCTTGAGAAACAGCTGGCGTCGTGGACCAGGGACAGCCTTCCCGGCCGGGGCCGCAAAGATGGGGGCGGTCAGGAGGGAGTGGGGGGGTGCAGGGAGATGGGCCCTGCTGGGTCGTGGAGCCCACCGCAGAGCGGGACTGGGGTGGAGCCTGGGCTGGGGTATGGTGGGGGTATCCCTAGAGAGGCGGCCACCCCAGCAGGACGAACGACAGTGGGGAGCACGGCGCTGACGGCCCCGCGATGGCCTCACCCCCAGCACCCGGGACCTGTGGCCCCGCCGGCCGGCACACTCCATCTGCGGGGGGCACGGGACCCTCTTGCAGTTGCAGCAGCTGCTCTTCCTGCCGGCCTGAAGCCAGCATGGCTGGTGGTGGCCTGGGTCCCCCGCCCCAACCTGCTTCCCTCCCTGCGGCCCCCTCGACCTCCCGGGGTCGAGGCCTTGGCTGTGGGCGTCTCCCGGGTGTGCACCTCTGGCCGGAGTCTGAGAGGCCTGGGAGCCCCACCCAGCTGCCCGGGGCCATAAGTCTCCTCCTGGCAGCCCTGGGTCTGCCCAGGGGAGAGTCCTAGATGGGCTCCAGGCTCCCCACTGGCCTGACACGGCAGTATCTGTGGAGCCACCCCCTATGCAGAGAAAGCAGTGGGTCCTCCCATCAGCCAGTCCCCAATAGTGGGGACCTCAGAGTCCCTTCACTGGAAGCAGTGGGACTCTGGGTGGCCAGCATTTGGGTTGGGCAGTGGAGGCCTGTGTGCAGACTGCCCGCGTCAAGGTGGGGGGAGGGGGTGACCAGAATGTATAGGCTGGAGAGAGAGGAGGGGGGAGGAGGGAGAGGAGGAAGGGGAGAAGGAGGAGGGGGAGGAGGGGGGGGGAGGAGGGGGAGGAGGGGGGCTCTGGGGGGTCAGCAGGAGGGCGAGTCCACATTGCATCCTTGAGTCTGGACACCGCTTGCCTAGCTGGGGTCCAGGCCAGGGGCACAGAACATGGCCCCAGAGGGGGGCCCTCTCAGCTTTCTGGGCTCCCAGAGGTTCTGGCTCCAGCCCTGCGTTCCTGGCCCTGGGGGGTGTCCTGACACTCCAGGCCCTGTGTTCCCAGACAGGCTTGTAGGGCTCCGCTCAGGCCCACTCGTGGTCCCCTCTGGTACCACAGGCAACCCCTAAGTGAGGCCCCCAGGCAGCTGGTGGGTAGGCTCTGTCTCCCCCACCCCCACTTCTGCAGGCCTATGGTCCCACTTGGCCTGGGTGGGGTGGTGTGCAGCAAGAGCGGGGAGAGGAGGAGCGGGGCAGAGTGGAGTTTGGGGTCCTGAGCCGAGGGCTGGCCTGGGGACCCGGAGGGCTGCCTCTGGGGAGTCATTTCTGGTTCTGGCTCTGAGCTGATGTTGCTGCTGCTGTCCCTATGGCCACTGTTCCCCACGGCCACATGGAAGAGGCCAGGCCACTCCTCTGGCCTTTTCTCCCTGCAAAAGGCTTTGAGGGATTTCTTAGAAAGAGCAATTAGACAGAGCTGGAGGCCTGGCGCTCTGGGAGGCTCCCAGGCCAGACCAGCCCGCGTCCTCCCCGCCAGGAACCCAGGGTCCCAGGGAGCCAAGGACGCAGGCGGCTGGCCTACCCAAACTCGGCATCGCCCAGGAGAAAGGAGTTTCTTTCCTCTCTAGCCGGCAAAGGCCCCGTGTAGGGGGAACTGTCTCAGAGTCCAAATCATGGATCCTTGTAGAGCAGCAAGCCCCTACTACGGGGGGCTTCACAGCTGCCCAACACAGATGGCCCACCCCTGGCTTCAGCTTCCCCGGGGCTCATGGGTCCTCCTGGGGACTGGCCCCTCCAGCAGTGGGAACCACGGCATCTGCGGCTTTGGCTTTTGCTGGGTGGCAGAGGCGCGCACGGGGCGGGGGTGGGTGGGTGGGTCTCCCAGGAACCGAGGACCCAGGAGGCTTCCTGGAGGACAGACCAGCGGGGGTCTCCTTCCCTAAACAAGCGGGAGGTGTGGAGTCTGCCCCAGGGACAGAGCAGCTCCCAGGCGCTCTGCCTCTCCCCACACCCCCGTCCTGCGGGCTTTGAGGCCCGAGCTGGGAGAGGAACGTGTCTGACGTGCCACACAGCAGGGTCCGTGGCCTCACGAGCCCAGGCCCCCTCCCTGGGCCTCCTTCCACAGGCACTCAGGAGCCCCTGCCCGCTGCAGGGTCCGTGGGGCTGGGATGCTCAGCCCGGGAGGACGCCGCACCTCCACGCTCAGACCAGGCGTGGGTCTCGTGGTCCCCAGGGCTCCCAGGCTGTGCCCTCGTGCTGGACACTGAGCTGCCTGCCCCGGGGTTGGCAGGGCCTGCAGGACTCCCCTTGTCCCCCAGAGCCATCCCCACACGTACAGTCCCCACTGGGAGCAGCGCCCGGGAAATCAAGGCCTGCACAAACGTCCTGTGCCAGGGCCCCGGGGCCTCAAGAGCAGCGAGACTGCACCCCTAGGCTGAGGGATCTGGCAGAGCTGCCCGGCTCCAGGGAAGCCATTCATCACGGCTGCAGCTCCGCGGTCAGCGCCCGGCCAGGCTCCCGCCCCCAACCCACGCTCTGCTTGCTGGCGGCTGCAGCTTCTCGGCTCCAGAAGGCTCTCTGACCCTTCTGTCCAAACCACGGCCCCCCAGACCCACCCAGCACCGCCCCCTGCCCGGCGGTGTGCCGAGAGCCTGGGTGGCCACTCTGAGAAGTCCTGGCAGCTGACCCCTACCCTGCGCCCACAGCACATGGGCACCCCGAGATGAGTCACTGCACAGAAGGCCCCCGGCCCCCCGCCCGCCATGGCCCCGCTCAGGAGCGTTTCAGCGACGCCTTATTGAGGCAGCGTTTCAGGGGTGCCTTGGGGACTCTGGCGGTGCGCCCCATCTGGGGGCTTCCAGCAGACAGCGGGCCATTTCAGAGACGCTCCGACCGGGCACCCTTGGCAGGGCGGCTGCTTCCTGGTGGGCACCGCACGCTCCTTGGTTCCAGGCGGGTGCTGGGGAGAGGCCCCCAAGCTCAGCCCACGGGCTGGCCCAGGGCTGACTCTGCCCCTCAGTCGGAGGGGACCTCGGGACGGACGGAGGCTGAAGCTGTGGGTTTCCCTGGGGCCCCCAGGGCCAGCCTCCTAGGGAAGGGTCTGTCCCCGCTGAAAGCCACACCCTGGGGCCCAACTGGCCTGACTTCTGCCCACACCCCCACCCAGCCCCGGTCTCACCTGCTTGCGGCAGGCAGCTGGTTGGGGGGGCGGGCACTGGGACCCTGGCGCCTGCTCGTCCCCTGCTGAAGGCCCCCAGGATCCTCCCTCAGCTCTTGAAATAGGGCTCCAAAAAGCCCCTTTCACACAGCCCCACACCCCCTCGATGGAGCATCTGCACCCCCAGACCTAACAGAAGGGCAGGGGGGCCCTCGTGGGAGGGTTTGGGGGAGGATTAGGGCACATGAGGAGGACCTGGGGCCTGGAGACCCCAGCGGCCCCAGCCTGGAGGCCCAGCCTGGCTGTGCTGGGCCAGGACCAAACCTCTAAGCTCGGCGGTCACTGCTCTCAGCCCTTCCTGCCCGACTCCAGGCCAGCTCTCCTGGCCTTGTTGACAACAATGGTGGCCACAGAACCGAGGCTGGGGAACCCTGGCCCCCAAACCATGCCTGGCGCCCCAGGAAGGGTGCACACGCCGCCGCCAACGCTATGCCGTCCCTGGGCTTCCCGGACAGCCGGCCTGGCCTCCACCCAGGGAGACCGCACGCTCCCTGCGGGCAGAGCCACCACGGGTCCTGAACCGGAGGCCCGTGAACCCGGCGGCAGTCCCGCCTGACAGGCCCGGAGTGTGCAGCACCCCTGACACCCCCAGTACAGTCTCCCAAGCTGTAAGCATTCCAGCTGAAGCGTCCCTGAGAGCCTCCAGTTAATGGGGAAGCTTCCCACCCCAGCTCTCAGGCGTTTAGTCCCGGAGAAAGTGCTGGACCCCACAGACTGAGCAGAAAACCTGGGCGCTGCTGTGTACCACCCCCACGCCACACCCCCTGCACCCTAAGTGGGAGGCCTGCTGGCTCGGGAGGGTGAGGGCCCTGGTGCCCAGTGCCCGGGTCAGGCCTGGCCAGGGTGGGGGCTAGGGGCCAGGGGCTAGTGCCGCCCTGAGACTCCGCAGGAGCTCCACCCCGGAAGTGGCAGGCGGCCCTGGCTGTGTTTTCAGGGGGCTCAGGCCAGGGCCTGGGTGCCATGCCTCTAGGGCCCCGTGCTTTGGGCTGCCTGGCGGGCGCCTGTGCCAACTCCCTGGCCCCGGGCAGGAGGGCTTTGGCCACGTCTGCACACTTGCCGGGACAGAAAACAGGCCGCCAACAAGCACGTTCAACCTGGAAGCCCTGTCTGGGGGGTGTCCCCGGAGGCCCCGGCCCTCAGAGTGAGCCCCGTGCGCTGGGTACTCCCAGGACCCTGGCCGGGTTGGCGCCATCCACAGCGCTTGTCCCGCCCCTTACTGTCCTCTGGGCAAGGTGCTCACACCTGCCCTCCGTGGCCGCACCTGCCCTGGCCACACGGGCTGGCCCGCTCGGGCTCATGCTGGCTCCCTGGGCGCAGAGGGCAGACGAGGACAGGAGATTGGGGGGGCGGGGGCAGAGGGTCTCGCTCTGTCCCGCAGCCTGGCCATGCTCTCAGCGGGGAGCCCTGTGCAGCTCACCTGCCCTGCCTTCAGGATGGGGATGTCGCCCCACTCTAGGGTCCCAGGCAGGCAGGGGAAGGCCATGCCTCCCCCGGTCCTTCTACGATGCTCTGTAGCTTGGCCTGAACCTGCACCCGTCCCTCGCCCTGCTAATTTGCCAAACAGGGTGGCTCTGACCATCCCCGAGACCGTTGAGCCCAGCCCCAGAGCCAGGCCCTCCCGGCAGGCTGCTCCAAAGGCCCAGGGGCCACGAGGGGGCCGGGGGACTAAGGTCCGTGGGGGCAGGGAGAAGGCAGGGCCACCGAGCCCTGGAGGTGCCCTGCCCACCCCTCAGCCTGTGAGCCCTCAGGAGGGGCCGATGTCCCACGCCTTCCCAGAACCCAAGATTGGCGGGGCGGTGAGAAGAGCGCCGTGAAACTTCCAGAACTGGAGCCTGGGAGCCCCTGAGCGGAAGGACAGGGCCCAAGGTCACCTCTCTGCCTGGCCCCTGCTGTCCATCCCGGGCACTCGGGGCTCCTGGCTGGTGCCTGTGGGGCGGGTATCCCTGCTGCCCTCCCCATCGGGAAGAGGATGGAGAGCGACTCTGAAGCTGCCACCGTCTGCGGCCTGCGGGCCTGTGCAGTGCCCGTGCTGACCGGCCTGCCCGCGGGGGGCTCGGGGGCGCTGCGGGGCACAGGCCCACAGAAGGCCCTGCATCCAGCAGGGTCAGCAGGGGTCTGGGTGTGGGCCAGGGCTGCCGCTCGCAGGAGGCAGAGACCAGAGGGGACAGCTGGCAGGGAGGGACCGTGAGGCCGTCCCCTGCTGAGGACGGGGCTTGAGATGAGGCCGGGGCTGTGAGCCTTCCAGGCCCAGGCTGGCCAGAGCCCACTACTCTCCCAGCGGCCCC